ATGTATTTTTGGCTATTGCTACAAATATACCCCAGCGACTTAAGACTACTTTTGTGCTCCAGGGTCACATATATTCATGAAATGTAAATGCAAAGCCCGAACAATATCAGCAAAAACAAGTGATCAGAATACCCAATTATACAAATAGTTCAAAAAATCAGTGTTGTTCATCCTCATTGATGTTAAATTTTAGTGCACCAGTCATATGGACTGTTATGATCCTATTATAAGTGGTGGAAATGGGCTTCCATAGATATTAATGTCAGTACGGTAACATTATCTTCCCTTGTTTGACATTTTTTAAAAGACATTTCAGAGCAAAATACATAATTATATAATATACTTACATTATATAAGTATAGATAAATAGCATTATAAACATACACAAGATTGGTGTAGGATTTACATTGAACCATTTTTTTTCCCGGTCGGAATTACTCATAAATTTCACAATTTACAAAGAAAGAGCAAGTGACACACTGAATTAAATGTGAGATTTTGAATTTTGAAGAAGACATTCTGAATTCTGAAGTAGAAATACTGACTTTTCTTGTAAAACACTCCAGTAATCTTTGTTTTATTTACAACTTAGAAAAATCAGCGGAACGTTCCCATTGCAAAAGCAAAAGTCTTGAACATGTAAAAGTCACTCATGATTCTGCATTCAAGCACAGATTTGAGGAAGCGATCGTCCACATTTCCTCTCGTGACCCGTAGCTGTAGTAGCGGCTCTGAAATAAAGCACTGATCACAGTGTGAAATCATAGTGCTGCTATGTTTTTAAAAGAAGTCTCTTCTGCTCACCAAGGCTTCATTTATTTGATTAAAAATACAGTAAAAATGTTTTTACTATTCAAAATAACTGTTTTCTGTTGGAATACATTTTAAAATGTAATTTATTGCTGTCATACAAAGCTGAATTTTCAGTATCGTTACTCCAGTCTTCAGTCACATGATCCTTCAGAAATTATTCTAAACTAAAACAAATAAAAAAAAATATAAAAACTATATATACAGTGGGTACGGAAAGTATTCAGACCCCCTTAAATTTTTCACTCTTTGTTATATTGCAGCCATTTGCTAAAATCATTTAAGTTAATTTTTTTTCCTCATTAATGTACACACAGCACCCCATATTGACAGAAAAACACAGAATTGTTGACATTTTTGCAGATTTATTAAAAAAGATGTTTTTTTTTTATGGTTTTCATTTCAGTTCCAGATTTAGTTATCTATAATAATAATCTTGATTCATCTTCCCCGTCCAATTAATCTCAATGTATAAAATCAAGTTCTGCAATTTCATGTAGACTTTCAATGAAACTCCATCAAGTCTCCTGAGTTTTGAGCAAAAACTGATCACAGATCTTTTTGTTTATTGCCCATCTGTCATTCTGTGGATGCTGAGAGCGGCCGGTCCATCATGAAGCTGTGTGTATTAGTATGCAGTATGCAGTATGTGGCTCAGGGTGGGCAAGAATAAAATGCTATTTTGTATATCTATGGAAGTGGCCTCCTCGCCTCTGGCTGGAGACAGTGAGATTACTTACAAACCGGCACAATTTTATGAGCATTTCGAGCCCTAAAGGATCCAGAACCACCAACAAAAAGGTGCTGTCGTGACCCCCATTTTCAACTGCGTTTGAGGTTCGCCAGAGATAAAGAAGTAAGCAATGAGATATATTTTCTTTTTAATTATAGGGCTCAGCCACGTTCCCGGATTCATCTTCATTGTTCTGAACCAGCAGTCCTGAACTGTCCTCCGACTCGAATATATTTCCACGTCTGACTCATCGCGGGCCACCAGGATCAGACAAAAAGAGCGCGAGACAATGACTTCACCTCAGAGGAAGTGTGTGGCATTTTATCTGTTTCAACTAAATGAACTTCTGTCAATGAAGTCGAAAAATGAGTGCTGTAACCTGCTCCTTGACACGGGATGTCAAAGACAAAGATAACTCAAATGACTGGGGGAATGTCTTATCCAGTCAATAGCAGACAACTAGCTGCCGGTGACTCGTGTATGAAAATAGATGTTGAGTGTGAATAATAATACACAACACTAGAGACGGAGCCCTAGTAGAACAATGATTGAGACGCTCAAAACAGCGGCTGTAGAAACGGAAGCCCCGCCCTCAAATCAAAATAGCCAATCACTTTACTGGGAAAAGTTCTATAGAATAGAAAAGGTTCTATCATTTAGAACCACTAAAAGGTTCCATTTAGAACTTTTCGTAAGGTTCTGTTAGTTACACATCATCTATATAGATTTGAGTTCTGTTTTAATGCCAAAACGTTTCTTCACACATAAACAAATTCAAGTATTAGCCTAAAATATTGAATTATTGACTTATTTGTAGCTTAAAGAACCCTGATATTATACTGTAGTTTATTATGTAAATATAATTGGAATAATAAAGTAAATAAAATAAAATAAATAGATGAAAAACTAACTACTGAAATAAATATGCACTAAAATGACTAAAATAAAAATAAATTAAAGCTATAGAAAAAAATGACAAGTACATAACAAAATTATTAAAACTTAAAATAAATTTAAATACATAGAATCTTGTAGGGATGGATATAAATTATATTTTAATGCTGAAACATTTCTTTCAACATATTTGAAATATTTTAAACTCAAGTATTAGTTTAAAATATTATTTTTTTACTTACTTTTTAGCCTAAAGAACCATGTTATTATACTGTATGTTACTATATAAATATAATTAAAATAAAATATTATTAGATGAAAATTTTAAACTTAAATATGTTACCTTGGCAACCAACTGAAATAAATAAGTACTCAAATTACTAATACTAAAACCAAAATAAAAATAAATAAAAGCTATAAACGTATTAAAAATAATAACATTAAAAATGACAAAAGCACATAAAATTATTAAAACTTAAACTAAAAAATTAAATGTTTAGAACATGGTAGGGATAGATTTAAGTTTTTTTTTTAAAGCCAAGACATTTTTTTTTTTTTTTACATTTTTTAATTAAATACTTAACATCAATAAATTCAGGTACTAGCCTAAGAAATGTAATTATTTACGAACTTTTTAGTCTAAAGAACCATGTTATTATACTGTAGGTTTTTATATACATATAACTGAAATAAAATAAAATGAAATATTAGATGAAAAACTTAAACTTAATGTTACCTTGGCAACTAACTGAAATTATGTAAATTACAAAAACTAAAACTGAAATAAAAATAAATTAAAGCTAAAGAAATATTGAAAAAAAAGATATAAAAATGACAAAAGCACATAACAAAACTGCTAAACTTAAGCTACACTGTAAAAAATTATTGTGATTTTAACAGTAGAAGACTGTAAAAGTGCTACAGTAAAAAGCTGTTAATTGGTTATCAGTAACTTTCCATACTATATGCTGTGAATAACGTCTCGGTTACGTATGGTAACCCTCGTTCCCTGAAGCTGTACAAATAAACTTGACTTGACTTGACTTGATTGTTGTAGCATGGCAGGTTGTAAATTAATTGATTAACAGTAAGTTTCCATACTATATACGGTGAATAACTGTAATTACATTTAATGTAATTTTACAGTAAAATACTGTTAAAATTACGTTTTTTGGAAGTGAAAAAGAGATAGTCATTGTATAATTTACAGTGAAAAACCATAAATTGACACTCCCAGAATTCCCTGCATGACACTTCATATTTTATGTTATTTCATTGAAATAATTATATTTCTTCTTAGTTTTTTCTTATCAGTTGTGTACATTAGGGCTTTATCTAATGTTGTTAAATTAATGTTTACTGCATTATTTCAGTATCATGCGCGTTACCATGATGGTGTTTAGTGTTCGTGTGAATGACACTGTGCACCTTCTATCTATCTATCTATCTATCTATCTATATATCTATATATATATATATATATATATTAGTATTTCCCTTCTCAGCTTGTGGAAGAGCTGTTTGTGATAAGCTTTGATTCATCATGTGACTTTCTCATCACTGTTTCTTTTTGGTGGTTATCAGTATTACAATGGTTCAAAACAGATATTAGTACTTCACTATGCTGGTTTATTAACATTACATCTGTTAATGAAATAGTTTTTTTATTGTGAATTTAAGATAAGTCTGTAAAACCTAAAATATTGCTACCATATTTTTAACTGTGAAATTCTGGCAACCACAGCAGCCGGAATTTTACCGTAAATGTCACAGATTTTTTTTACAGTGTAAAGTTAAAATGTATAGAACCTTGTGTATTTAATTTTTGTTTTAAAGTCAAAACATTTCTTTTAACATCTGACATACAAGGGTGTAGGTTTGATTTTGGCATTGGTGGGGAAATAACGGCAGACAGACATTTAATTGTTTGATCAAAATTATTGCTATGCAGGAGTTGGCTCTCTTATACAGATACATGGCAGGTGAATGCAAATGTTTATCAGAACTTCCTTCAGCAACACTGGGTTCCTTCCCTGCGTTCATCTCCCAATCAGTCTGCAATTTTCATGCAAGACAATGCCCCCATCACACTGTAAAATGGGTAAAGCAGTTCCTTGAAGCCAAGAACATAAAACTAATGAAATGGCCAGCCCAGAGTCCTGATCTAAACCTGATTGTAAATCTCTGGAAAATCCTTGGCGACAAAGTTATGGCTAATAATCCCACTACAGTCACCGAACTATGAAGAAGAGTGGACCAAGATCACACCAGCGCAGAGATGTGCTGAAGTCACTCAAAGTAGGGCCTCTACACTTCCTACTAATTTCTGACAGCTGTAACCCTCCAAAATGTTAGATGTAAACTTCCTTCGTGCTACAGTGGTTTCTGTTCTCTAATTTCGATCACTGTTTTCCACAAAATAATGTTTATTTGTTTAAATTCTCTGGTTGTTTTGTCAAACATGTTAGTAGAACAATGGTATACCCACAGCTAATATTCCTTCAAATTTTGAGTGATGAAGATAAACAATATTTCAGAAAAAAATCAAGAATTTATAGATTGTTCTCTAATTTTGATCTGCACTGTAAATATAACTAAAATAAAATAAATAAAAATGACAAAATAAAATAGCTAAAACAAACTCAAATGAAAATTAAAGGGGTCATATGATGCGATTAACACGGCATCACAGTATGGTAAGGGGCGTAACATTTCCATCACACGCTTGAGGTATTCGGCCAATCACAATGCACCAGATAGCTGGCCAATCACAGCACACCTCGGTTTTCAGACCGATGAGCTTTGTAAAAATCGACGCGTTTCAGAAAGTCGGGGCATAGAGGAGAAACAATAATGTACAGTATGTGGAAAATAATAATGTGTTTTTGAACCTTAAACCGCATAAACACATTTCATTACACCAAATACACAAAATAATGTTCTTTTTAGCAACGTCATATGACCCCTTTAAAACCAATTCAAATATTAATACACTAACAGCATAGAAATTATAGAATAACACTGTCACCAACTTGAAAAATACTGTCATCCGGCCTGATTTGTGCTAGAGAAGCAAAATCTATGATACGTTTTATTTGTGGATTGATATGGATCATTACTCGAGAGTTTGTCGCTTGGCTGTAGTTGAAATGATGAGTATCTCGTATCTTGGGAAGCTACAGCTTTCTCAACGCTGTCTGACATGATAAAGGTGACTTTACAGCATAATTGTAAGGTTACCTGCACTGGGAAGCAGGGGTCGGCGTTGCTGCAGGTGTGCAGACAGTCCCGTCCCTCTGCGAAGGCGCTTCGGCTGGAGCTCTGAGGAGTGAAGGAGATGTCGTGGTCGATGTACTGGCCCCAGTCCACCAGCATCTGGGAATAAGCGCTGTCCTCCAGGACGGCCGTGCTGGAGCCGCACATGATTTCATTGCTCACTTCTCGAACCTTAGAAAGCAAACCAGAGTGACTTCAGATGAGATGCATTTCCGCCATCATTCTGACCATCAGTTTTACACTCAAACATTTATGCTGAACATAAATATAGGCATAATTAGTATAATACTTAGTGTTTAGGGGTTTGTACAGCCTGACATATGAAATACTAGGTTTTTTTTTTCTGTTTTTTAATGGGACAGTTTATTACACCTTTTGACAAATAAGAATCTAAAAAAAAGCCCTTTGCACTTAAACTCTATTCTTACTAGATACTTTGATGCTATTGTGCTTAAGCAAATAAAACACGAGGATTTTCTGTGGTGAATAAAATGAATGCATGAAAACGAGTCCTGATATGCTGTTGTTTTGTGTGTGTGGGCAGTCAGGGAAATCTCATTATACCCCTCCGCCAGTGTTTGTTTACCTGTTGTAAATGTCATTAAAACCACTAGCAATTAAACCGCTATTCGCCAAAATTAGATGGAAGTGTTTTTGCCCTCTTGCACAACGTGAGATGTGGCAATGTGAACATTTGTCACGGCGCATCTTGCACTGAAGTGCTGCAGCCTTTGCCTCATTAAAAAAAATAGTTTCAGTGAGGCGCGCTGGCAGCGACGCTCATGTTTCTCTGCGTTTGGGAAGAAGAGGTTGTGCATATTTAAAACAGCGCACAGCATTGCATTTTTAATGCGATAATAGAGCAGGGAAAGGCCAACGTGTCACAGGTAGATGTGAGATGGAGCTCTTCTGAGGTGTTTAATATGCAATGTTTTCTCAAGCTTATTTGGCAGGTGTTCACAGATATATGATCTAATAATCTAATCTAATAATCATGCAATGCAAACAAGTATGACATGATTTGATGATGTTAAGTCAACATTCATTTTACACAACAATGGCTTGAATATCTTTGTTCCCAATGACTATTTTGTCTTGTTTTCCAGTGCAAATGTCAAAAGATTCTTAAATTAAGACACATTTACTTGAGAAGCAAAATGACTTAAGAAGTCTTGTTTTGTGGGAAATTGATCAAAATCAAGAGAGTTTATGATTAAATCAAGAACAAATATCTGCCATTGAGCTCAGAAAATTCAACTTAATTTAAAGGGAAAACAAGTTGATTTTTTTCTTATTGTAAGCATAAACTCACTTGAGTTTATTCAACTTCTCAGAAAACAAGACTTCATATGTTCAATTTGCATCTCAAGTAAATGTATCTTGATTTTTAGATATTTATATTAGAAAACAAGACAAAAACACTGAGAATATATTAATTTTATTTGGCAGTGCATGCAACATTTAATGCCATGACATTATGAATTTAAGACTTTCTGCTCTGATGTTAGGCCTTAATTTGTGGAAGGGTGAAATAAGACTTTTTACGACTGATAATGACATGAGCTCATTAGCATATGAGGGCACTCATTTGCATATAATTTCATTCCAGTTGCATTGAGTAACTCCTCCCCACAGTGAATAATTTTGTTCTGCACATCAGTTTCAGTCCTGTCTTTCATGAATTGTGAGGATATTCTCATGCAGCTCACCAGAGGAAGTTGGAAGCCGCTGTATTGGCGTCCGGTGTTCCAGCCTTTGGGTTGGTTTTCTCCATCCTCGTACTCCGCCGGAAGCCATCTGGCCAAGCCGGTGTTTGCTGCTCCCCAAAGCGGGTTCTTCCTAAAAAAACACAGTATGAATGCATGTGATCAAAAATGTCTCATGACATTGCATTTTTAAAGAATATAAGGGAACAGCTGCTGTACTAAAGAGCTCACAGTCAATGCATTATTGCAATTAATATTCTCACATTACTTTCAAAAATGCATTGTCCTTCATCTGCCTGTAATTCTACATTGCATGACCTCAGAAATGACAGGACCTGACTATTAATGGCATTGCATACTGTACATTTCATTTTCTGGCTCAATGCAATGCATAAAATCTCTCAGTAACCGAATATAAACAAATATACTCATTCTTTAAATGTTTTTGTCAATGCATTTTGGGTTTGAACTAGAATAACAAGCACTTTCACTCTAAGCACTTAGTTGCCCTAACATTACTTGGCAAATCATAACATCACACCTGATATGTGCATTTCAGAGACTTTTCACCAGATTTGTATGCACTTCGATTATTTAGTCACAAATGTAGTACAAATATTCCATTTGGTCTCTCATAAAAACTGCATGTATAACTAGACTTTTACACGTTCTGAAGAAAATGTGAGTGATTTTTGCCTGTGCAAAACTCAACACCACAGTCAAGTCGTTTATTTATATAGCGCTTTATACAATACAGATTGTTTCAAAGCAGCTTCACGTTTATAAAACAGGAAAATAATTCATGTTGATGTTTAATGTTTGATAATTAATGTTAATGTTGTAAAATGAATCAATTATGAAACAAACGTAATTTTTAGCTGTAAAGCAGAAAATAAATCAAATCATAAAACTGTTCATTTAACTGTATATTTATATATCTATTTAAACAAAACCAGTCAAAATTCAACACTTACTAAAAACTATAAAAATCATAAGAATGTAAAATTTAAATATATAAATAATTTCCAAACAAAAGCATATCCAAATAAAACACTTACTAAAAATGTGTTAAACCATGAAAATATTAAATTATAATAAATACTTTTACATAAAAATTTCTAAAATAATTAATAATTTCCAAATAAAATAAAATTGAAATAAAATACTTACTAAAAATTGATTAAATCATAAAAATGCAAAATTATACTAAATATTTGATAAATTAAAACAGTAAAAATATAACACTGAAAATTACTGAAATCATAAGAATGTAAAACTGAAAAAAAAAGTGCGGTTGCTAGGGTGTTTCTAGGATAATTGGGTGTTTTCTTATTGTCTCAAGTCAAAAAAACAGTGCATGCTTACGTCTATGTGATATTTGAATCCCTACATTTGAGAATGATCAGAACAAACAGTCCCGTATGAACAGCAGTGATAGTGTTTGTCGAGCCCCCGTAATAATTTGGAGAAATGTTTAAAATAGTATTAGATGCATATAACACCGCACTCAACTACTCATAGAAGATAGATTTAATCAGAACTAATGATGTTTTTGCATTAAAAATATATAATTTGATGCATCAGAACTAGACGGATATGGTACATTTCCTCCCACAAATGTAAAATAACGCTATAAATCTTGCAAGCCGAGCCAGTGTGGAGAACTGGGATTAATTTCCCCAAAGCCAAATCAATCATATGCATCATAAAGGAAAAGATAAGGAAAAACCACATATTGAGTTTATTCTGATTTAAATCTGTTTATATGATTGCAGACAGCTCTATCAGCGCAATGCAAATGAATCCACACTGCAAAAAAGATTGACGTTGTCTTGTTTTGCAGTACAAATATTTAAACATTCTTAAATCAAGATTCATTTACTTGAGATGCAAAATTGCTTAAGCTATTAAGTCTTGTTAAAAAGATCAAAATGAAGTGAGTTTACACTTAAAACAAGAAAAAATATCTGCCAGTGGGGTCAGAAAAAATAAACTTAATTCAAAAGGGAGAAAAGATCATTTTTCTGACCCCGTTGGCAGCTCATCTAATTTTGATATTTTCAATTTATCGCATGCAATTTTGTTTCTCAAGTAAATGTATCCTGATTTAAGAATGTTTAGATATTTTACTGAAAAAAACAAGAAAAAAATACTTGTTTAGAAAATAATTTTTCACAGTGTGAGAAGCAACACACAAGTATTTTTTGTCTTGTTTTTCTTAAACTTCATGATTTTTTTATTTAGTATTTTTGTCTAGCAAAATTACATAAGATATTAAGTCTTGTTTTCTAAAAATATGTAAAAATTAAGAGTTTAAGCTTAAAACAGGACAAAATATTTATATTAAAAAATATATATTATTTTACTGAACCCACTGGCAGATATTTTTTTTCTTGTTTTATGCATAAACTGCATACACATATATATATATATATATATATATAGACGTATATATAGACATATATATATATATATACAGTATTAGTATTTTTGTCTTGTTTTCCAGTACAAATATCTAAACATTCTTAAATCAATATACAAGCAAAATTACATAAAACATTAAGTCTTGTTTTCTTGAAAAATATATCACAATTAAGTGAAATTATCAGAAAAATAAACTTAATTAAAATGGAAAACAAGATAATTTTTCTGACCCTATTCAAAAACATTTTATTCTTGTGTTATGCTTAAACTCACTTCATTTTCAGAAAACAAGACTTAATGTCATTTTGCTTCTCATATATAGATATAGATATAAATATAAATTGATTTAAGAATGTTTAGATATGTGTAATGGAAAACAAGACAAAAATACTGATCGGGAACATTTTTTGCAGTTGCAGCAGATGAAAGCAAGCACAGGTTTGTGACGTATTTCATGACCCGGGTGAGCAGGGCATGAATATTTAAGGTTTAGACATTATTTTTATACTGTTTAGTGATATTCTCATCTGCTCGAAGCTCTGACCCGCAGGTCATCTTATCATATCAACCTGATCCTCTCCACAAAAGGCCGCGGAACTGTTAACCGAGGGTCTGATTTCTGTGCTCTCAATCTGCGAGACGTGCCTCCCGCTGCATTATGGATGAATTATTAAGATGGGAGTCAGATACCTGTTATTGCAGACTCCAGAGATGCTGCGGTATTTTCCATCTTTGGCGCAGGTGGTGGGATGGAGAGTGCGAGGGCATCCAGACAGGTTTGCTATCCACTCCACTGCCTTCACGGAAAGGAGCTCTTGAAAAGCAGTTAATGTGTTTACGAATGCAACTCAAACACTGAAGGGTAAACAGTCTGCCGAGGTTCCCGTAGATGAGGCAACATTGATTAAATCTGACATTTAAAGCTCTTCCGAGATGATGCCACTGCATTATTCCACACTTACAGAGCTGAATCTCTAGTACATGTCGCGCAAAATAACACGCTAAATAATACCCCGCAGCGGCCCCATGAAGTGTTTAGACACTTAAAAAATGTCAATGCATTAGATCAAGTGTCATCGGTGCTCAGGAGCTTTTATTAAACGGATAGTTCATGCAAAAATTAAAATTTGCTGTTAATTTACTGTAGGTGACCATTTTCTTCAGTAGAGCATTAAAGAAGATTTTTAGCTGAAACCGTGCTCCTTGGTGATTCATAAAATGCAAATGAGCAGCTTCTGGCACTTTGAGAGTCAAAAAGGCATATCAGGAAACACAAAATTAATACCTGTGACTATTGACAACATATTGAGGTCTTATGAAGCAAAATGATCATTCTGTGCAAGAAACTGAACATTATTTACAACATTATTAGCTGTTATCCAGAGCCTCAGGCAAACGGTTCAGTTTGTGAATGAATCATTATTTTGAACCGGTTCTTTTTAATGAATCGGTTCATCAAATCGGACTGAAGCGTCTGAATCAGTTCGCGGCTCGAGCAGCACAGATCTACACGTTACTCAATCAAGTTTCAGACGCCTGACAGTCACTCCGACTCTAAATAAGCCAAAATACCATCTGATCCTGTGACGAATTAACTGATTCAGCGCTCCAGTTCCTGTCACTGACTGAACCGAGGAAACAGTTCGACTCTAACTGAAGACCTATGAGTGAACCGAGAGCTTGAATGAAGGGGCAAAATGAACGTTTATATGGTTTCTTATGGTTTATATATAAAGGTGAGCTGATGAAGACTAGTTTATTCAGCTTTAGACATGTAAAACATCCACGTTTCACATCATTATTGGGTGCTTTAATAATATAATTATGTATAAGTGAGGTCATTGCATGATTACGTAAACGAACTAGTGAATTGAACCAGTTTATAGAAACGAACTGTCCAAAAGAATCAGTTCGCAGACAAGAATCAGATTTCCCTGTTTGCCTGAGGCTCTGGATTACAGATGGTAATGTTGTAAATAATGTTCAGCTTCTTGCACAGATGATCGTTTCACTTCACAAGACCTCAATATATCGTCAGGAGCCACGGGTATTCATTTTGTGTTCCTTGATATGCTCTTTTTTTATTCTCAAATACATGAAGCAGCTGACTTGCAATTTTATGCATCACCAAGGACCAAGTTTCAGCTAAAAATCTTCTTTACTGTTCTACTGAAGAAAAAAAAGTCACCTACATCTTGGATGACCTGAGAGTGAGTAAATTAACAGCAGATTTTTATTTTGTGTGAACTATCCCTTTAAATTCACTGCAATAATCTGAGGGAATAATGTATGTATAAGAGCCTCACCTGACACAGACAGTGATCTTTTATGTCTCCTGCTCGCCTTCTCCTTTAAAAGCCCTAAAGTCATGTGAAAGATCTCTGCTGATTTGGAGATGTGCTGTGTTTCTGATGCCGGACGTCTGGAGAGCGTGTACATGTGTAAAGGCTTAGGATCGAACCTGCAACTCAGAGAAAAAGAGGGAAATACTATCTCTACTGTCTTTATTAGGAGATAAAATGTTTATAAATTATAAAAATGATTATAGACTTTTGTTCACCCTTGTGAAGTTTGATTCAGTGCAGCATTGACCATCTGAAGACTCTCTTGAAAGGACGATATAATCAAGCTCTCAGGAACGACTGGTTTTCCAGAGAAAATCAAATGTGAGGATTAGAAATAAAATATGAAACCGAGAGTTCCAATAATGAAATCTAATTGGTTAAAATATAAAAATATGAATTATATTAATTATTATTTAATAATAATAATAATAATAATAATACAAATACTACTACTACTAAAAATAATAATTATTATTATTATCATAATTATTATATACATATATCAGTATATACATAACATAATAAGTAATATAATAATAATAATAATTATCACACACACACACACACACACACGTATATATATATATATATATATATATATAAACACTTGGTGTTTCTTATTATACTGCTGTAGCTTTCAATTTATTAAAGTAATTAACAACTTAAGGCTGTGATGCCTGTACTATACTGTAACGTCAAGAAAAATCCTCCCAGAAATCCACATTATCATTGCAAACAAATTGTCAGTGTTGAAAATTTAAACGAACTGCTCATGTCCTTTAGTGATGTGCTTTGAAATGTAAAATATTCAGATTAACTCAGGTTTTACATTAATATAATGTCCCAAGGGTGGGCTTACGAATATAGACTATAATTTGACATCTTGACATTCATGCCATAGTTAAAAAACATGGGGTTTGCGAGAAACATCCCCATTTCACCTCTGACTGTGTGGCATCAAAGCCAGCATGATCTTTCGGTGGGGCTGACAGCACAAACAAACCAGAGCTGAAACTCAGGACGACATTCCCACTGGGAATCTTCTGTTGACATAACACGCATCCTAATACAAACCAACAACCCATCTACTCTTTACATGAAGACAGCAGCTTAACAATGCCATCCCGCTCACCATCTGACCTTCCTATTACGTGCCGAGACCTGCAATTTCTTGGGAAATATCCCAAGGGTCTCCGCAGGAGATGTCATTACAGAAATTTGGCACCAGATGTCAGGAACCAGATGTGGTTGGAACATTGGGTCTGGAAACGTCCGAACTAAATGTCAGTAGGTACAAAATAACCCGTAATGAATCCGTCGCCAGCTGGCTGTACAAATAAGACGCTGTGTTGAGTTCTGGCAATTGCTGCCAAATCCCACTTGGAGGTCTTTGCTTATTTGGAACAAGGAATGGCAATTAACCACAAATCATTGATCTGAAGATCATCTTACTATGTCTAGATCAGTGTTGGGTGTAACACATTACAAGTAACAGGAGTAATCAGATTACTTTTTTCAAGTAACTAGTAAAGTAACTCATTACTTTTTAATGTACAAGAAAATATCTGAGTTACTTTTTCAAATAAGTAACGCCAGTTACTTAGTTTTTGAATTTATTGACTGACAGCTCTCCTGTCCCCATGCTGATTTGGTATTCCTCAAAATGAATAAAAACAGTGAAATGCAAGCTCAGAATATTACACAAATCTGCAATAATTAAAAGTTAACACAAAAATCCTTTGCATATTTAATCCCAAAAAAACAAGCAACCCCAATGCCAGACAAGAAAAGGTAACGCAAAAGTAACGTAACGGATTACTTCCCATAAAAAGTAACGGAGTAACACAATAAGTTACTTTTTTAGAGAGTAACGCAATATTTGAATGCATTACTTTTAATAGTAACTTTCCACAACACTGGTCTAGACATCTCAGTATCACATATGAGCTGAAAGGCATGTGAAAGACGCCACATACGCTGAGATGAATTAGATGAATCTGTGCTCAGACCGCAGCATATAATGACAGAGGTTAACCGCATCAGAACGCCAGCCATGTCTCCGCTGACCTGCAATACAAGAGACATTTTAATTGACTAAAAATAAGTGCAATAAATGTCAAATGACAGAAAAATAAACTTTGAGCGCAGACATGATATTTACTTTCACTGCAGAATAATTAACACTATTTATTCTGTACTCTATGTGATTACTGCACACACTATGGAATAAACATTACAGTGATAAACTATGATTAATAATTTTACAAATACGATTTTAAAGAAGAAATCTCTCATATCTTGTCCCAAAAGCATAAGTACTTGAAATGAGTTTGGAGAAATATTGACTCAAAAGTATAACATTTCTTTAATATTCAGCACATATAATCTGCCATTGTATATTATTTGTATATCAGCATTGGTATCAGCTGATACTTCAACACCAATTAAATTTAGCTTAACAAATATTACCATCTACATTTACAATTGTACATTACAGAAATAAAATCCTTATTTGTGTTACAGTATACTGTAATCTGTATCCTATAGGATACTGTTCATTTGGCCTTGTTTAATTATATTTATGCAAAATATATTCTGTTGATTTTGTAGTGAACTATGATGCAGAAATTTCTTGACAGCTAACAAATGAATACATTTAATCTAAAATAATTAATAAATTATTGGAAACACTACCATTCAGAGGTTTGGGGTGAGTTTTTTGTTTTACTTTTATTCAGCAAGGATGCATTAAATTGTTCAAAAGTGACAGTAAAGACATTTATATTGTTACAAAAGATTTTCATTTCAAATAAATGCTGTTCTTTCGAAACTTTATATACATCAGACAATCCTGAAAAATAAAATGTATCATGGTTTCCACAAAATATGAAGCAGCACAACTGTTTTCAACATTGATAATAATCAGAAATGTTTCTTGAGCATCAAATCAGCATATTAGAATGATTTCTGAAGGATCATGTGACACTGAAGACTGGAGTAATGATGCTGAAAATACAGCTTTGATCACAGAAATAAATTACAGTTTAAAATATATTCAAATTAGAAAACACTTATTTTAAACCGTAAAAATATTTCACAATATTACTGCTATATTTCATACCTCTAGTCTCAGCGGTGTTGTGTTGTGAGGCGTTTGTCTGTGTGTTTCCAGTCGGCTGTGTTCACTCTCCCCCGTGTACTCGTCTCTGCTGGGTTTTGCTCACTGACTGTGAACAGTCAAACTCTGCTGATTCCACCAAAACCCTTGATTTTCAAGACTCCAAGCTTCATGAAGCGTGTCGTTCGAGTGCCCTCTTTAAACACAACACAAGCTCGTGTCAAGCATCTGTCAGGCCTCTGAAATCATGATTATCTGCTCATAGCAGATTTCAAACATGACATTTCACAACCTTATAGGAATAGTTCACCTAAAACAGACCATTTTGTCATCATTTACGAGCTATATTTAAATTTTTGCCTGGTATATTCCTATAAATGACATGCGTTGATTTCTTGACATCATCTCATTTTCAGGGAAAGGTCCGTCTGTGAACTCTTAAACACAACTCAATTCACTCAACTAATTATTTTAGCTGTATGTCTGCGGCAGATGAAGAACGACCTGATGCTTTTGGCATAACTCATCTGAATAGTCAGATCTTTGGCTGGACAATGATCCATAATTAAAGTAAGTCAAGTCATTCATCTAGATTAATAACAAAGCATGTTAAGGATTAATTGCACTTGATCTGATGTCTTTGTACAAGTAATCATCTAAAAGCCTGTAAAAAGAGTTTAAATAATTCATTTATAAGAGTTCATGTCATTCGTGCCCTATAACAATATCATACATAGAAAACACAGTGACTAGATTACATTTATATTACATTGTCTGAGGAAGCTGCAACACTCACCGACACAATTCCAGGTGTTGCTACGCAGTTGCTAGGGTGTTTTGAGTGGTTGCTAGGTGGCTTCTTTCTGTCCTTTTGTTGAAATCACTAGCGGTCACATTAGCGATGTTTCAACGAAATTTCACCAGGAAAAAAGTTCCAAAATTGTCAATAGGGCAGCAATGTTTTATAAAGTATGGAAGCCCGTTTCCGCCACTGAATAAAAAAAATTAAAAAAAAGTAATTGCTTTTTTTAATCTCGCAATTCTTTTTGTCTCAGAATCGCAATTCCGAGAAGTAGAGTCGGTTGTGAGATTTAAACTCGCAATTATGAGAAAAAAGTCAGAATTGCAAAATAAAGAGTCGCAATTACTTGAAATCACTAGCGGTCACATTAGCGATGTTTCAACGAAATTTCACCAGGAAAAAAGTTCCAAAATTGTCAATAGGGCAGCAATGTTTTATAAAGTATGGAAGCCCGTTTCCGCCACTGAATAAAAAAAATTAAAAAAAAGTAATTGCTTTTTTTAATCTCGCAATTCTTTTTGTCTCAGAATCGCAATTCCGAGAAGTAGAGTCGGTTGCGAGATTTAAACTCGCAATTATGAGAAAAAAGTCAGAATTGCCAGATATAAATTCGCAATTCTGAGAAATAATGCCAGAATTGCGAGAAATTAACTCAATTGCGAGAAAAAAGTCAGAATTGCAAAATAAAGAGTCGCAATTACCTTTTTTATTTTTTATTCAGTGGCAGAAACGGGCTTCCATAATATAGCGCAGCTCACACGGAAGTCACGTTCAAAAAAAATAAAAAATAAATAAATGAAACTATTTGAAAATGAGAGTCGGTTGCGAGATTTAAACTCGCAATTATGAGAAAAAAGTCAGAATTGCCAGATATAAATTCGCAATTCTGAGAAATAATGCCAGAATTGCGAGAAATTAACTCAATTGCGAGAAAAAAGTCAGAATTGCAAAATAAAGAGTCGCAATTACCTTTTTTATTTTTTATTCTGTGGCAGAAACGGCCTTCCATAATATAGCGCAGCTCACACGGAAGTCACGTTCAAAAAAAATAAATAAATAAATAAAATAAAACTATTTGAAAATGAGCAACATTTATATGTGGGGAACTTTTTCGCCTTCATGCGAAACTCGATCGTCTCGATCGCGTGGATTCCTTTTGAAGGGACTCCGTTTTGGCTGCAAATTTCGCTGAGCAACAGTGTAAAATTATTTTTACTTATTATTTCACTATGTTACTTTGAGGGTCAAAAGCACAGTCTTAAATAAATAAACGTAATAAATGAGAGAAATTTGACAGGAAATCTTTCGCCCTCGCGTGAAACTCCCGATCGCGCAGATTCCTTTTGAAACGGCTCGATTTCGAGTCATTTTGAAATGAACCAGTTATTTTCCCTTCAAAGTATTTAAAAATCTTACTGTGATCAATTAGACCATTACAAAAACATTGTTAAATAAATAAATACATTTAATAATTAAAATAAATTTACCAGAATATTTCGCCCTCAAGCGAAACTCCTGATCGCACAGATGATTCCTATCTGAAGGACTAGATTTCACTGAGCAATGGTAAATGTGTAAAAAATGATAGTAGTCATTTTGCAATTAACCTATTATTTTCCCCTCAAATGATTTTAATATTACGCTGTTTGGGTTAAATTTACCAGAATATTTCGCCCTCAAGCGAAACTCCTGATCGCGCAGATGATTCCTATCTGAAGGACTAGATTTCACCGAGCAATGGTAAATGTGTAAAAAATGATAGTAGTCATTTTGCAATTAACCTATTATTTTCCCCTCAAATTATTTTAATATTACGCTGTTTGGGATCAGACCTGGCAACCCTGATTCCTATAGAAATGAATCAGTTTTGCGAATTGACCACATCTTAAGAGCAACATTAACACTGATGCTTGCCTTAGTAAACACCACTAATTAGTGTCCAGAAAACACCTTAATGATGTGCAAATATTGCCATCTCACAGGTCTGATGTTCCTGCACTTCAGAGTGAAACTGTGAGCGACTGGCGTCAATGATACTTGACAGAAACAGAAGCACCAGCTCATCCGATAAAAGGCCGCGGCTCCTGAAGCTCTTCACTGCGATTCAAGTGCCCTAGATGGGGCAGTAAGTGAGCAATGACGTGTTTCTCCCAAAATACAGCACTGCTGGCTGAATCCATCAAGACTTTCACTCTAAATGTTTCTTCCTCCATCTCTGGAGTTCAACTCAGCGTCGATCCGCCTCTCTGGTGCCCAGCAGAGCGCAGAGATGCTGCTTTAGTATTCGAGTCCAGCGCTTCAGATGGGCCTGTACGTCACAATATGAGTGTGTCTCTGCAGCAACACACAGCCGTGTTTCCTTACTGAATTGATTTGCGTTTTAAACAAATTGGGTGAGTCAGCGATTCACTGATCCATTCATAAAAGCATTTTCTTTCTGCGTTCATGAATGAATCAGTCGTTTGGAAAGAATAGACTGAATAAATGACTCAGCGACTCACTTGCCGCCACCTACTGGTAATTTTAGTTTCATATTTAAAAGTATCATTCTATTTTTTTTCTGTCATTTAAAATTTCTATATTCCAGTTTTTATATTTAAATCTCATAAAATGATTTATGCAATTTGTATGTGCAGTGAAAATGCATGTACAAGTGCTACAAATCTATCTATACATATATATATATATAATTCAAAGATTTTAAACTGCAAATAAAATTAAGACTACAATCAATAATACATCACAGTGTGTTTTTGGTATAATTGTAATTATGCCTCATGTTCTGTGAAGATTGATTGTCATTTTGAAATTAGCCTGTTAATTTGCCTTCAAATTATTTTAATATGTTACTCAGTTTAGTATTAATTTGACCCTTGCAAAAACACACTGTAAAAAAAATTAATGAATAAATAAATAAATACATTTGATAATTGAGGAACTATATAGAATTTGGATTATAAAATTTCTGATTTATTTTACCAGTTTAGGGTAAATTAATATTGTTTTCCCTTCAAATAGGGTTAAATAAACATAAACAGGTATATACCCATTTTTACATGTGAATATTTTCTCTTGCATCTGAACCCACACAAGAATCATGCCGTATTCCGTCAGCAGTGAACTAATCATTCCTTT